GTTTTTGTGGCCTCAGATGTTTCTTGGCTTGTGGCAACATCTCTGGCTTTGTCTTTACATGGCTTTCTTCCCTGCGTGTCTCTCCGTTGGGTGTCATTGGTTTGCTTATAAGGACAGCATTGGATTTAGGGCCCACCCTAATCTAGTGTATGATCTCATGTTAAGTGATTACATCTGCAAAGACTGTATTTCCAAATAAAGTCACATTCTGGGGTTCCTGGTGGACATGGATTTGGAGGGAACACTTTGCCTCACTGGAATGGGTCATATGTAAACTCACTGACTGAAGTAGTAGAATAGCAGGTGTATTTAATGGGCAGCTGTAAGACTGACTATTCACATAGCCGCTTTGATGATGCATTTGAAACTTATGGCAATACAAGTGTAAGCCAAGTTTATATGTGTAGGTACAGGGTTGAAAATACACTCACTATGGTCAGTCATGCAAAAATAGAAAATGTTGGCTTACCCCCTCCCACCACCAATTTTTTATATTGATTTGAGAAAGAGAGAGAGTCATCAATTTGTTGTTCCACCCATTTATGCGTTCATTGGTTGATTCTTGCATGTGCTCTGACTGGGGACAAACCTGCAATTGTAGCATATCAGAACGATGCTCTAACCAACTGAGCTATCCAGGCAGGGGGAAATTGTTGCCTTTTTATTTCCTATAAACAATCCAGTTTCCCTCATGAACTCTTATCCTGCTGAGAAGGGGAAAACAAAAACAAAATTGAATTCAGTTCACTGCGGTCAACTCAGTGTGAGCCAAAAATTTAAACAGTTGCATTAGATAGCTCAGTCTACTGGATGACTCAGTCTTTCAGAATTCTCCTGTGATCCTTCTCTTCAAAGTAGATTCTATTGCTCAGTTTTCCCCTTATTAATAAAACAGAAGTGACACATGCTAAATTACATCCTTTTGAGTCATTGCTTGATCATGACATAGTTAAAAAATTATAAAACAGAATACCTCTGTGTAGTTGAGTTTAAAATCATTGCTCTTACAAAAGGATTAATGAATAAATTCTTTTATGTTCTAAGAATAATTGTAGCATGTTTTATGATTATCATGGACCTTAAGTTTCTGAATTTAATATTGGATTTTACCTGGACAGCATTGACCCCTGAGATTTAAACCTGGCCTTGGTGTTGGGCTAGAGTCTTGCCCTTTCCCTCTTTGTGTGTTGTCCAAGATCTAGAAATGTAGTTTCATGGATTGGAAAAGTGATGAATTGTGTGGAGCGGGTGTAGCCCAGCTGCCTGCATGCTCAGCATGGTAGGGTCCTGTCTCCATCCTTTTCTGTTTCACAAGCTACAGAGTTAAAGGAAAGCCTTTAGGTTGTCTAATAATAGCAGAGTTATGTTTGAGATTACAGCCCAGAACTATCTCAGGCATGTGCTTCTGCTCCCAAGAGGGGAGTTCATACTAAAAAACTCAACTCTCCTTCCTCTTTGTGAACCCTGGAGCCCGTCACAGGCCTCTTTCCAGTTGTCTCGTGTATGTTGTGTATGTAAAAGAATTCCTTAGATTCTTTTCTTGGCAGCATTTGGAAAATAATGTCTGGAATCAGAAACAGATTTGTTATTTCTGTGCTGAAACAAGTGCATTTTTCAAGTTAGCTAGCAAGCAACCATTTGCTCTGGCAGGTTCCCCACCCCTTCTTAAATCCAGTAATAAACTGTCAAGTAAGCACTGAGCAAAATTTATGCTATTTTCGTCTTTGATCTGCACATCATTTGAAAAGACTTTAACAACTAAAATGCAAGTGACCCTGAAAATGTTGCATTTGTGTAAATCTGGACATTTTACTACTATACGTTTAGATTTTGAGTTTTACTTAAACTAGCAGCAGCCTTTAGAACTGCAGTCCTGCAAGACTTCCCTATTTCTTTCCCCTCCTTTCATTTAAAAATTGCATACAATTGTTAGTCAATAACTTACCGCTACCAAGGGGAATTCAGACTTGCTCAATCTGCAATTTAAAGTAGCACTTTTAATAAACACACTGGTGATATCATGCATTTTTCAAACTGGCAGGCAAAGCCCTTGAAATTTAATAAACCAAACAAAGCTAGCCCTTTATTTCCTTTGTCTTTCCCTTGAAAACTTTGTCATGCCTTCTAGTTCCCTTTCTTTCTTCCACCGCTAATCAAAAGCTTGCTTTTAAATATGTTGCAGTAAAAGCCAGATCACCTTGTTGAATAGATGATTTAATATACACTAGGAGATGCTATCCTTAAGGAACGAAAGAGCAGTTAGCAGAGCCCAGCTGCCTGAAGCGCACGGAGCTGGAGGTCTGCTTGTTTCTGGAGCATGCTCCATGCAAGGGTAGTGCCCTGGGTTATTTGGCGGGTCTGAATCAAATGAATTACCAAAGCACTGGCAAAAGGTTCAGTTAAATTCTTCATTTTCATATATCCTGTCCTATATTTTACCCATTTTTGCTTCCTTTGATTTGCTGATTTTCGTGTCTCCCTTTTTTAGTTTTTTTCTTTCCTTCTCCTTCCTACCCACTGGTTGCCCGTTGGGGGAGCTGTGTTATACCTAAACCGGATTGAACTCCCTCTAGTTACAAAGGTGTGATCAGTAGTCTGCACACGCGTCAGTAAACGTGGTGGTTAATAGGCAAAGGCAGATGGATCAGGGTGATCGAGGCAGCTCACCACTCAGGACGTCCTGTCACCACCGTCAACCAGGCACAAAGGTGTGCTCCGGTATGTATCTTTCTCTTTGAAATCTCAGAAGAAAATACTGCTGAAAACCACCCCAGGGGCTTGAAGCAATTAACTGTTTTTGCATGACTAAACAGCTTGGCAAGATTTTGTATAGGGACTCTGGGTAGGGAGACGAATAGTCTTAAATTAAAAAAAAAAAGTCAATTATTTTATAAAAGCATACATAGCGCTTGAGTTTGAAATCAGAAGATTTAATTTGACAGGCAATATAATGACAAACTATTTGGTCTGATGTTGACAGGATTCATCCTTCATCTGCTAATTACATGGCATTTATCAGGTTTTGTTAACTTAGATTGGGTTTAGAATTTTTATTGTTATTATCAAAATGTGGCTAATACTGAGAACCATTGAGACAGATAACCATGCTAACTTGAACTTGGGTTTAATTTGTTGGGGGGCTGGGTGCATCATAAGAGAAATGTGAGCACTCATAGCCATCCTCTCTTCTGAATGTTGTGTAACAAAAAGGTGTAAGTAGCATCAAGTGAGCTATAGGAACCATGGGTTGAAATGTGATTTAAGTGAATTTCTGTTTAAGTGGAGAATGTTTTTCAAAGGTCGTATTCTATATTATGTTTGTTCTTGAGAAATTTTGCAAGACAGCATCTGACAGCTAAGGAGAAAAGTCTCTCTTTCGAGGACCAGAAGAGGACATATGTGTTCTTTATTGTTTTATTTCACTGGGTGAAACTGTGCAAGGTTCGTTGTCACTGAAACTTTCAGAGGGAAGGTTGGGACAGATGCTTCCGCTCTCCCGAGGGAGCTGCTGTTCAGAGCAGGGATGAGGGGAGGGTGGACCATGCCGTCTGAGGGGTGTTCTTAGGACAGGGGGGCAGAGGGCTTTCAGGTTTCAGTTTAGGGCAGTTTCCTGGGAGAGGCTGGCAGGAGCCCAGGAGATTCCAGAGTTGCTGGAAGATCCTCAGGGGAAACTGATTCACACCAGAAGTTAAGAGGAGTGACTTTTCTGTTTTCAGACAGAAGAGGTTCCTTGGTGAATAAAAAAGGGGCCTCAGAAAAGGCTTTGAGATGAGATGAGGTGGCAAAAGAAAATGAAGCAGGTTGGCACACCTGGCCCCCCCCGGGTATTCCATCTGTCCTCCCTTAGCTGTCTCCTGCAGATTGGGGGTTTTGCTTTATCCATATCATTTCCTGGTTTTAAGAGGGCAAAGGGCGCTCTAGTCTTTTTTTCCTGGAAAAGTGTTGCTGTAAGAGAATACCCACGTTTATGCAAAGAAAAGGCCAATATTATCCTGAATTTATACGTCTAGACTCATGCAAAATTTGTTGATATTACCAAATACTTCGGAAGTTCATGAAATCTGACCAAAATGTTTTGGGCAAATTTTGCATGCAAGTATTAATTCGCCAGGTATTGGTGGACACCTACCATGTTCCAGGTCCGGTCCTGACCCTAGGGACACATCCCCGGGCTGCTGCCCCTGCCCTTCCCCTGGGGCCTGGGGCCCTTGTGCTCCCAGGACCTCCGCTGCTTTCCCGGCCACTTGTGTCCACTTCTGTGGGGTTCTCCTTCCCCAAGATCCAGTTTGAGAATAAAGCAAAGCCAAAGACTTTTTAAAGGTTTCTCTACTAATCATGACCCCCAACAACAAAAATAATTGACAGGTTAGTGAAGTGAAGAAGATTTAGTAAAATGCAACTCTGTCTGTTCATATAAACTTGAGTAAAGACTTCCTTAGGGGTGAGAAGAAAATCTACCTGATAAAATAACTGAGCATTTTATCAACTTTTGTAAGCTTCCTGGCATTTTCCTACAAGTATGTAGTCATGCTATGTAGTTCTTTATTAAATTGTATTTTTCAGTTACAGTTTACATTAATTATTTTTTGGTATTAGTTTCAGGAGCGCGGCATAGTGGTTAGACAAGCATCTACTTTACAAAGTGGTCCCTCTGATGTTTCCAGGGCCCGCCTGCCCCACACACAGTTATTACAATATTATTGACCATATTCCCTATGCTGTACTTTTCATCTCTGTGACTGTTGTGTTGCTACAAACCTGTACTTCTCAATCCCTTCCCCTTTGTCACCCGTTCCCCCTCCTCTCCCCTCTGGTACGCCTCAGTCTGTTCTCTGTGTCTGTGTAATACTAACTCAGTTTGACCTAGGTGCTTCGTAAAGTTACTAATTTGACTTACCTCAGGCTTGTGAAAGTAAAGATTAGTGTGGACCATAATTTGTAACTATGGTGTGACTATACAGTGAGAAAGGTAGATAGACTTCTTGTTTTTTTCACCGCAGCATATTTATCCCAGTTGGATGACCACACCCGGGTGAATGGAAGGTGCGGTAAGTCACGTAGACCTGCACGTGAGCATTGCAGCCACACAGACAGTTTGAAAGCCCTGGGAGCCAGTGAGAGAACCCTGACAGGTTCCGCCTGCTCCAGCGGAAGTGTTTGTTGCCACAGCAATTGCGGCAAAAACGGTCCTTTTTGGAAATGTTCCTGGCAGAACAAATGCTGGATAGAAATTTAAAACAAGATTTGGACTTCACACATGGTGCCTTTTATAAAATTGTTTTATTTTCACGAAATCTACCCCTATCTAGGAATGGATAAATGGGCAGTTTTATCCTTACAGATGTGGAAAAGTCCTTATTTTAAGTTGATTGCTGAGAAACTGGTACTGAGCTCTCCTTGAATCACTGGGCTCTTTTCTTCTCTGTCCTGTCTCAGCTACATTCCTTCTTCTGTCAGTAACTGGCAGCCCATTTGTCACTTCAGAGAGAACTGGCTGGTGAGTTGAGCTGTCCAACTGAATTGTAGGTAAATTACAATGGAAGCTTTTAAAAAAGTGGTACGCTCAGAAGATGATGTTGTATGTTCATCTCCAAAAATACAGAGTCTATAAATGCTGGAAGGACTTAAATGCAGATGAGTGATTTTTTTCATAGCTATAAGCATGATTTAAATATGAAACATTAGTTTGATATTTACCTTCACTTTTAGGCTTGGGTTTACAAGACTCTTTCTGTAGAGACTGCTTCTTTTTAGTCACCCACTTAGAACATCTAAAAAGCTTAAGCATCTGGTGCCTTTTTTGCTTCCCACAGGATATTAGTGTTGGTAAGGCAAATATTCTAACTCTTTATTTATATGCTTTTTGGCTCATGATAAATTTGGCCAAAAATGAGTTTTGCCTTAGTTGCCCCTCACCCCTCTCTTACCTTCATGAGATTGATGAATAGATCCATTGTTGGTGTTATCTGCAAAAGATAACGTATCTGCAAAATGGAGGGGAAAAGAGGAGCCCCCAAAATACATGAGATTCCCTGGACACCCGACATACCAAAGGGCTCTCCCAGACACCTGCTTTGGACTGTGTTTGACCAGCTTTTCTTTATTCCCCTTTCCCTCATTTCACCATGGGAAAGTGACCTTCATGCTCTGCAGGTGAGGAGCAGCTACCTGTCTCTGTCCCCGCTCTGTGTGAGGTCTACAGTTAGGGCAGACTGTGTGGATGGTCCTGGAGGGAGGTGAGAGAACAGGCTCCTCTCTGCCAAAGCAGCGCTTCCCTCACCAACGCTGAGAATTGTCGGTCTCATGCTAAGAAAATTCTCCTCGGTATCAAGAGTCCTTAGCTGAATCTAATTTTTGTGATGTACTGATAATTCTTGAATTTCTCTCTCCAACAGAGACCTTTCCCCTAAAGTTTAAATATAAATGTCCAGCTGCCTACTCCACATTTCCAACTGGATGTCTAACAGAGTTTATGAGCATTTCATAACTCCTTCGCCCCATGTCCTGTCTCACTGCGGTCTTCCTCATTCCAGGAGGTGGCAAACCCATCTTTCCAGTTGCTTGGACCAAAAATCTTGCAGTGATATGACTCATTTTCCTCTCACAACAACCCCTTTTCAATGTGTTAAAAAATTCTATCAACTCATTTTTTAAATCTTCCCCAGGATATGACTCCCTCTAACCACCGCCCCTGCCGCCTTCTTGCCTGGGTCTTACCTGCACTGCTCTCATAGTTTACTTGCATAGCGGCTTTCAGCCCAGCAGCCAGAGTGAACCTGTACAAACACAAGGGAGATCATGCCCCAATTTTGCTCAAAACTTTATTTTACTCAGAGTAATATCTCAAGTCTTGGCAATGTATCTTTTATTTGGGGGTGCCTTTCACAGGCCAAAGCTAAACCACAGAGGAGAAGGGATTGTTGTCTATGCCACAGAACTCAGAGCTTTGTCAAATCCTTGGGTCTGGCAGAAAGTAAAAGGCTTCCCTGTGAAACTCCAGTCCCACATGAGCCGTGTTCTCATTCAATGCGCATAGAAGGTATGGTCTTTAATGAGACTCCTCTATCTTTTGTGCCGTGGGAATGAAGACCGTCCTATCCTATGTCATTTTGCCATTAAAGGTAGCAATCTGCATACTTAACTAGCTACTGTGCTGTACCTTTAGTCTTTATTAAATAATTTTGATAAGAGAGTTTCTGTCGGAATTTTAGGAAATTGATTCCCATGGCTTTTATGATAGGGCAAAACAGTAGGGAGCCTATTCAAATTAGAAAGCTAACTTACATGTTTAATAAGCAGCTCAGTTTTTATTCTTATGCATACATAGATTTTGCTGAGCTTTGCTGTGTTATGAGGAATAGCAAACAGTTCTCCCCTGAAAAGTGCAGGATATTTTACTTTTTCATAGTACCCCAACGTTTTCTTTCATGGAATTAATCAAATGGATGGCAGGACCTGACCCCACCCTCACCCCTCAGTGAGTGGGACTCGAATGTTCTCCACGTACCTCCTGTTGTGTGTGGTAGTGATGAGTTCTAGATTCTAAGGTCCTTGAGGGCATGGCTCATTGATGCCACCAAGAAGGAATTCTTTAATATTTGTGGATTGAGGGACTGAAATGTAATATTTAGCCTAGTTCAGGTGAAAATGACTTTAGCTATCCGTCTCTGTGAAAATAAATAGACTTTTTTGAGGATAGCTTAAAATATAAAAGTAGTTTTTTACTTTCAATGGGAGTGAAAATATGCAGGCAGTAAGCAGAACAAGAGAGATTTTTAACTTTTGAAGTTCTATTTTCTATAACAACCAGATAGAAAAATGTAATGCAACAACTTCAATCCTTAATGCCTTGTGAGAGGGGGAGGTTGATCGAAAAGGAGAGGAAGGTGGATGTGCTTTCAGAACTCCAAACATTCAGAACAAGCTAATCTAGGCTTAGTGGTGACAGGAGGGACATGCACTTCTCAGGTACCTTCTTAGTCTCTGAAGTGGCAGGTCACCACCAGGGGGATGGCCAGGTACCCATTGGCTCCTCTCAGCACCTGGCTGGAGTAGTTTTATTTCTCTTGACTAAAGGACTGAGGATTTACTCACCCAGGAGAAACACACTCTTTATGCACTTTTTTCCCCTCTTGGGTTTTCAATTAAACACACACACACATACACACATACCCTCCAATGCATAGTCTGATGAATGGGCAATTGAGCACAGACAAAAATATAATAATAATAAAATTGATAAGATTATCTATAGAAATATGGGATTATTTTCTCCTAGCAAACCATTATTTAAACATGTGAGGGTTTTTTTTATTTTTTTAGAAATTTTATTCCATTTGATCCTCCCATCCCGGGTTCTAAAATTTCAGATCCAATGGATTATTTTCTAAGGTTCTCCTGTATTCATTTCATTCTATTTCCATTGCAACTCTTGTTCCCCATTTTCTCTTTAAATATGCTTTCAATGTGGTCACTATGTTCTTCTGTCCATAGTAGGCCCTAGGGAACAAACTGGTCATTATTCAGGACCTTATGTCAGAGTATGCCTGGAGGTGCTCTATTAATACCTGGTGAGTGATTGCATGCTTAGCAACACTAGGGACTTTATTCTGTCTCCTTTATCTCTCTGAACTGTTATAGTTATTAAAAGTTATAGGCACTTTGACCTATAGGTTGTCTTTTCAACTCAAAAAATGCAAATGATGGGCCCATCATTTAGTGCCCAGTTGAGTTCTTACTAAAATGCACATTCAGGGTGATGAGCCTGAAATCTTCATGACGTGGTTAACTGTGAGTGAAATTTCTGCATGAGAAGCAGAAAGGCCCTGCACCTAGGAATCAGAGAGAGTTTCCGCTCCTGGGTCTATCATTTACTAAGTTGGAGGAAGCCCCTGGACCACTCTGAGCCATTTCCCCATCTAATAAATATAAGAGACTGCCCTGCCTACTAGATGTCGTGATTTTTGTGGGAATCAATGAGGTAAGGTGCCCCGAATGTGGCAGGAAGCTGTCGATCCTCTCTGCTGCCGTCTCTCCCATTCTTTTACACTTCCTGTCAATTCCACCTCTTTAACAAGTTTAGCAACCTGTCTTTCCTCTCCATCCTCCAGGCCAGCACTGCCTTGATATGGGGACTAGTAGCATTTTATACTTTTATTGGCTCATCAGCCTCCTAACTCCCTGAATCTGGGCTAATTGCTCTCTAATCCCTTCTCCAAACTCTATCCAGAATGTGAGTAACCGACCTCATCGTGTTTCTTCCCAGGTTAACACTCTTCATTCCGCACCCTCAGCCCCCACCATCCCTTTACCTTTAGGATGGAGTTAACCCCTTTAACATAACACAGAGGAGCCCTTCTTGAAAGCATGCCTCCCTATCTTCCTCTTCATCCCCTGTTTTCACCAGCCTCTTCCCCATGTGCATTCACTGCTGTTTGCCCTTCTTTGCATGTGCCAGGACCCTCAGCTTAGACTGAATATTTGTTTCTCTTCTCTTCTACCAAACATTTAGATTTGACCAACATGACTCGATTCGGATGTTCCCTCCTTTTGGAAGCCCTCCATACCAATGGAGGGCTTCCAGATATTTAAAAGCTGGTGTCACACCCCTCCTCTGTGCCCCTCACAGGGCCACACAGCTGTCTGTTTTCTCTTGCACTAGGCACTAAGAACCTAGAAAGCAGGCAGTGTGTGTTCTTCCTTATGCTGCCACGAATCACATAAACGTTGGTTGAATTTTTCATTAATATTTGAAAAAATATGAGGACACATTCAGGTGTATCACTCAGCTTAGTTTTGGAGACAAAAGAAAAAGTATTCAGTGTTACCCTTCCCTTGCATAAAGTTTTAAAAACTGTTCACACCTGGAAATTCTTTGACTCATGCCAGCTATTATCACCAAGAAATTTCTAAATAGTTGAAATGCACAATGAATTTCAAGTAACATTATTTGCCTTGGAAAAAGTAACTATGCCAAGAAATCCTATGATAATTCAATTTTATCTGGGAAACTTTGGGATGCAGTGCCACAACATTCTATAGGAGTAAA